GTCAAATATAAACACGATTTACTCAAATTAATCATTATTACTACGTTTAAAGGGGATGCAGTATTAAATGACCATTAAATCTAGGTAAAGAAAAGCCAGGAAGCTTGTTAGATTRTGCTGTGTTCACTCTGTCTTTCTCTCAGTTCACAGATGTTGAGCTGATTGAAGAAATAATGCTGAGGATGATACAGTCTTGAGGCTAATAAACTGCTAAGCCTCCAACATGTTGCCAGAACTGTTTGCCTTTTCTAAACARACTCTTATGTGGACTTCTCGCTGGAAAGCCACTCCTTACAGAACTCTTTTCTATTCAAGGCAGCGGCTATTGGAAGCTACAGTTCGTAGAAACAGTCACAGATCGGCTTTAGCACCGTCCTGGGTGGAAAAGCAGAAGCCTGTGTTTACCAAAGCACCAGAATTTGGAGAAAAGCTTGCAGTCATAGACAGCTGTGGGAAACACAGCTACAAGCAGCTGTACTGCAGCAGCTTGGGGCTTGCCAGTAGAATCAGTTCTGCTCTTGGGTCTGATTTTGGAGGTCTGGATGGCAAACGCATCTCCTTCCTGTGTGCAAATGATTCTTCATATGTAGTGGCACAATGGGCGGTTTGGATGAGTGGTGGGACAGCGGTGCCGCTCTATCGAAAACATCCTCCCTCAGAACTGGAGTACATCATCTCTGACTCCCAGAGTTCACTGGTGGTGGCGGGGCATCCGTACGAAGAGATCCTGCAGCCGCTGGCGCAGAAACTCGGCCTGCCGTGTCTGCCTCTGCCTCCGACTAACAACCTAGATGCTTTGGATGAGACAGATACACGTGAGAAGGAGATAACTATTACAGACTGGACTGATCGACCAGCTATGATCATCTACACCAGTGGAACCACGGGGCGCCCCAAAGGGGTTCTACACACACACAGCAGCATCCAAGCCATGGTAAATAATTATATTTTTATTAATTTTGTATGAGACACAAACATTCTAACTTGTCTTTGATTTACAGCTGGAGTCTGCCAACATTATCAGGTCATCTGCAGTGAACAGAGCACAGTTTTAATGAACAGTTTGTCAAAAATCTGACTTGTCCGTATAATAGTTTAAATATCTTTATAAATGAATACAAA